CCCCCCGCAGTTTCCACCGGTCTTTGATCCCTGTCCCGTATCCACTGATAGTCCTGCTCATTCAGAGCTGGAATCAGCTCCTCGTCCTGCATCATTCCCGCTAGTCAGCCTAGTAAAATGGCGGGGTCAAACTCATCTTGGGTTTAGGGTTTAGGGTTTAGGGAAACGGAACAATCTGGGAAAACCTGGGCCTGCGCTCACTAAATGCCTAGTTGCTCTCAATAAGGGCTTCCAAGTATATCTCGACAATCTACTAAACCTTATTATAGGGGCTCCCTACAGGGGGGAAACCCCATACAAAGGGTTATTACTTGTTACTATGCATCCCCATGTGGACAATATGGTACTTTCCATAAACAGGTGACCCCAAAATTCAGGCCTCCAAATGCAATGATCCCTATTCTCAAGCTCTCAAAAAAGGTACCCCGGATTTTGGGAAACCCTCAAGCCTAAAGGGCCATAAAGCCTAAACCCTATAAATCCCCATAGGGTCCCTATATTATAACCCCCTTTAAACTGGGTTGGCCCCTAAAACCCTTTGAAAAATACGAAAAATATAGGGTCCCCTGTTAAAGCCATTATCGAAAAAATATGTCCCAGGGGCCTACCTCGTAAAGAAATCCCAAATTTTGAGAAATCCCATAGCCACGTCATCACTGCGAGGCACCAGTCGGCCACATCGCAGGAGCTTTCTGGGCAGCTGCACGTGGCATCCTTATGACCCGAAAGGGAGGGTGCTTTTGCGCAGTTGTAGCAAATAAAGAGGAGGTTATCTAGGCTCAAAAACACAAGTTTTATCTAATTTAAGGTGGCTATAAAGATTATATGGGGGTATATGGAGACATACTGGGTGACATCCCCTCATCGCGCGTAGCACAAGTTGGGTTTGGGGTCTAGCGTTGACGGTTTGGGGTTCAGGGTGATGGGTATAGGTCAGAAACGCACACCCTCACTTGCACAGCATGGAACAGTGGGACCAGCTAATTACCATACGATTTATCTACGTCGATTAGGTTGCAATTTGTGCTGGGGATTGAAGGTCAGAAGCTGCTAAAGAAGTCCTCAGGTCGACTACTCATAATTCAAATGCGCTGGCGCAGTGGCTTGCAGAAGCTTGCCCTGCGGAGTTCCCAACGTGCAGCGCCTTTGGACTTCAAGCCCAGGCCCGAAAGAAGTCTGAAGCACTTCCTCCCAGCATTGCACACCCACCCCCCTTCAGAATGATGGCTGCCATTCTTCAAGGCATTCTACGGGGAGTATACCTGGCAATGCCGAATACCACGCGGCTCCACGACAGGACAGTACCCCCATGTACTGCCACAGTCTGAACCCTCCTGAAATCGGTTGAGCGACAGCAGACACACCACGGAAGCCCTCCCGAGCCCACCGTGATGTCGTCAGGAGGAGGGCTCCTCCATCGCTGAGTTCAATGGCCTCCTGAACATTGTTTTTTTCTAAGTGGGCTGCGTGACGTTTTATGGGGGGAAATATAAAAACTGCCAGAATGGAGAGGCGCTAGCTCACACTCCAGCATTGCATGGGTAAGTTTCGTGCATTAAGCACTTCAGCCAGATAACACACAACAACAGCTACATCTTCAACTTTTCATAAATTGCAGCAAAAAAAGCGCTCCGATGCTTGTATGGAAACATGCTTGCTTCACCGTACTTTGGGTAAAACACATTTTTCTGATGGTAAGGACTGCTATATAGTTCGCAACCACAATTGTCTCAACATGTGGGCCCCTGTACATGCTTCCAAAATTCGAGACTCCTCGACCCCTATTCTTGAAACAACCAACCAGTACCAACCAGTTCATCCCTATCTTATCCCTACACAACCCCACAGGACTCATTTAATCCATTTAATCGTTGTAGAAGCCAATCCTGCTCTTCGGCTTTCCCGAAGGTCTTGCGCCCAGCTGCTTCTTCCCCGCAGAATACCACGGGCACCTTTCTGCGACACGAAAGCCAACCAAGGAATGACTACATCAAAAAAACCACGCAGAACACTCTGCACACACCCAAGAGAGAGAGAGGGAGAGAGAGAGAGGGCACTGCTGTTATCCGGTCACGTAACAGTAGCTCCACTTGATTTTCTTGACTCCCGCGCTTTGGCTTGGGTCACTTCGCCCTCTTGAGCTCACGACGAATAGTGGTCTCCTGTCCCATGCCACCGCCATCAACTAAGGAAATCTCCAGCCACCAGGGGGCAGAGGACACCTCGCTGAGGGCAGGTACTTGCATAAGGGCCGGCACGGCGCGTGCATCCAGGTGGTCCCAGATGATGGCTGCGATGCTCTCCGGGGTGACGCGGGCGCTTGGAACTAACAAGCAATCCTCTTCTGGAAATGAAAACGAAGCACCCTCACTTATAACGCAGATTTGCCCTGCAGTTGGTTCGCCTATTTGGGTATTGCCGCTAGCAAACTTGGGCAGAATGACCTTGTCCGCCAGCTTCCCGCAAATCTCGGACGCAGCTTCGCGCAGGAGGCACGCATCGACTCCGACGGCCGCGCCAAGGCGCACTTTGACAGCCAGGCTCTCTGCGAGGAGACGCAGACGCCGCTTATCCCGTGAGGCAAGGCGAGTGCAGTTGACCTTCAAGTCTGGCCCTTGCACAAGAACCTCCCAAAGACCGTCTGCAGGCGGGGCTCGCCATACTCTGGCCTTTACGTCCATCTCTTTAACTTCTTTGGAGCTGACACGCGCAGGCCTTGATGGTGCTGCCTCAGGGAGGAACTGCTTAGGAGCTGGTGGAAGATCTACATCAGCCTCCCCGTTCTTTGACGCTGCCTCGCAGGCGACACAGAGTTGACGACCGTCCCTGGACCGCAGCAAAGGGGTCAGGTGCTTTGCACACGACTCATTGAGCATACACCAACCCTCCAGCAAGTACTTTGCAATGAGATTTGGATATGCCTCCTGTCCAGTTTCGCTCGCCATGGCATGGATCAGCAAGATGTGCAGAATCGGACACGTTACATAACTTTTTTTTTGTCGCACACTAGCCAGCTAGGGTAACTAGGGATGTATGTTCATCTTGTGGCTCCGAGGAGCTCATGCAGTTTGTTGCGATGTGTGCTGGCCGTCTCAGCAAATTGCCGGAGTAGCTGTTGTCTCGTATCTGAGAGCCCGTGGCTTTATCAGCGGTTTCACATAAGGTTTGAGATGGTTTGAGGATGCGCCAGCTCATGTCAGGCCATGCTCCGAATCTACGAACCAGCATCCTTGAGGATTGCTGCCTTACCTGGTAGACATCACGAACATCTACAGACGGGCTTAAATTCTGTTTGCTAGCAACAGTGCTTGTGCACATGTTACAGGTTTCGGTGAAGCTGGTCATCGGGCGGGCCATGTCAGAAGCCCAGCAGTTGCCCTCGACCTGACTGCGCTGTACATACCTAGATTGAGTCACTGGATCCGCATGACAAGCATCCCGTCAAATTCCTTTAAATCCTTGAACACCCTTATCCCGAAACATGTCTGAAGCCCAAGCTCGAATCTAGACGGTTCAACCCTCCACGAATCAATCTACCATTATCACTTGATAATACTTGATATACTCACGCAACCCTGGCAATTTTGATGTATCATACATATGTACACACACATAAACAGACCAACTTGCAAACTGGCATTTCTCTATTCCTTATGACTCGCAATGGCAGCAGACACGACATGTATCATGTACATAAACAAATATGAACCACAATTATATACATCATATGCACACACATGTGGACAAGGGGAAACATGGCTACACATGCTGGCGGCACCTTGGCCCGCTGGAGCTCTGATGCCATCAGCTCTGAAGCAGAAGCGCTCTTGGCATTTACGAGCACCACCAAGGCCTCTCAACTTTTTCCCGACAAAGTTCTGGGTGTGGCAGTTCAACTTATTCAGAAGAGGAGCAACAATGTTGACAACAACATTCTCCTTGTCGTATGCTGGGCAACGAGAGCTGTAAAGGCCATCAGGACATTGATGATGATGGTAATGGTAGCATCAGCTTTTTGCTGCAAGACTTGTGGCGGTCGTTGTGGTTGTGGTGGTTAGTGGCGAAAGACAAGTGGCACGCCGCAATGCCAGTGCTCTACATGTGGCGGCTACAGCTGCAACAATTGCTGCCCACACGCAATGATATGGAGACCGCCTGAGAAGCCAGGTAGGCCAACCAGAAGTCAATCGTTCAACGGTGTCAGTAGCTGAGGATGCATACTTAAGGGGCATGATATTACTGTTGCTAAGGGTGCATCGATGACTACTGTAACACACATAACGAAGGACTGAGCGCAGCAGCGGTACATAAAAAACATGGAAATCTAGGAATGCCGGATTGTCTTCCTCACTTGGAGCTTTGCCGTCGTCGTGCAGCCAGTCATCGTCATTGGAAGAATGCATTGTCTTCAGAATATCCGAAGCAAGCAGGAAGGAGGAGGTACTCCCAAAGGATACAGTCAGGCCTTAATCTTGTGATTTTAAGCAATGCCCAAGCAAACGCAGGCCCAGAAAAGGAAAGAGAGTAAGACTGAAATCAGGCCTTAATCCTTTCCCGCAAGTACACGCTGCCTCGCGACACGCCATTTGCAAACATTATGTCGCTTTTAGCTATATTTCGGAAGCCACTTCCCCAAGTAAACGCTGGAATTTCAAGTACCGATATTATCCTCAGTTTGGCTCCTGCCCTAAATCCTGAACCCTAAGCTAAAGCATGTTAAAGCTTAGCAGTACCCTGACAATCAAGCCTGGCACTGTCTAGGATCAACACTTTAGGGGTTTCCCCAAATTAGGGCTACCTTTAAAGTGTTTATATAGAGGCTATATGGGTTTTGGGGGGTTTCTCACTCTCTCTCTCTCTCTCTCCCGTGCCATCCAGAGGATCTTGCCCAGCAAGGGCACGCCATAAAACTGAAACCAGGTGAGGTTTTAGGGTTGAGGGTTTAGAGCTTTCCGGGGGGTCCCAATAATAAGGATGATCGTATTTGGGGATCCATATTTGGGACCGTCATGATACTAGTCATATCGCAACATGCTCAAGAAGCCTCTGCTACCCCGTCTCCCCGCAATATCGCGGCCCTTGGGGGCTCCAGATAGGCATGTGGACTGCAGAAGAAGTATGGGGGCCCCCTTACAGGGGATGATATGAGGAGTACTTTGAGGACTGCTAAATGGCACCATGCCGCTTGGCTGATGTTTAGTTGGGAATGGGTTGCAATCCGTACAGATATCCCCCCATGCCTAACTAAGCACGAGTAACTGCCTCGAACTTCTTCTCGGAAAGTTGCTGCTGAAGCTCCAAAGTAGCTCGCTGTGCATCACTAACGCGGCCACCACCTTGACAAAGGACTAACTTAACTTGCCAATCTAGTGGTATTCTGTATTAGTGGAATCAACAGGGGAGGTGTAGGGTGGGGGGGTGGGGGTTTTGATCATGTCATTAGGGGTATGAAGGATTGAACTTCGGCCAAAGTTGTGCTCCAAAACTTTTTTTTTGTCGCCTAGGGTTCCCAACATAGGCGCGTCCTCGAACAAGAGCTTTTTGGCATTACTCAGCAGTATCTTGATAGTGGCAACAGGCGTGCTAGATTTTGAGACATTGCCAGCTGAGGGCAAAAGTGGAATAGACTACCAGTTCATGAGCTTGCACCATTGGAAGATATGATAGTTTTGTGAAATAAAGGGACCCCAATACAGGGACCCCCAAAGTGGTACCCCTGATATTGGGAGGCCCCTAAATACCAGGGCCTGACATGTAGTCTCAAGGCAAGCAGATGGGATCCACCTTGCCTCAGTTTGGCTCCTACACAGACCCTCGGCCCTAGGTCCTAAATCCTAAACCCTAAGCTGAAGCATGTTAAAGCTTAGCTGTACCCTGACAATCAAGCCTGGCACTGTCTAGGATTAACAATTTAGGGGTCTCCCCAAATTAGGGGTACCTTTAAAAGGATTTATATAGAGGCCTTTTGGGGATATATACGGTTTTGGGGGATTTCTCTCTCTCCCTCCCTCCCGTGCCATCCAGTGGATCTTGCCGAGCAAGGGCACGCTATCCAAGTGAAACCAGGTGAGTTTTTAGGGTTGAGGGCTTTCCCAAAATTAGGGGTGCCCGTTTTGGGGGTCCCAATAGTAAGGATGATCGTATTTGGGGATCCATATTTGGGACCCCTTGTTTGGGAAACACCATTCGAATAGCGGTGCAGAAACCAAGCACATTCGCGTTGTCCTAGACATGATTGTTCTTCCTCGTCTTGCAAATCCTGATGGCAGAGAAAAAGCCAATGACTGGAGTAATCGTGTGGAAGCGGAAAAAGAAGAGCAAAACTGAAAGCTCGGAGCTATAATGAGAATACCTGGAGTTGCAGCCTTCACAGGCTATACTATGGGATTTTTCGCCACAAAAGAAGCTACCCATGAACCTCCAGCAACCCAAAGTGCGAGGGGCGGTTGTCGCGCAAATCCACGAGGAGATATCGTACTTGCTGCCTGTGCAGACAAGCATAAAAGGTTCCATGATGTTGAGATCACATGTCGGGAATAAATAGGGTCTCACACACACTGTGCACAATCGGGATGCTTCGGGAAAATGTGGATGTCCTGAAATGTCACGCTTTTTTGGGAATTCTGGGGCACGCCTTTGAATACATCTTTAGCAATTGCATGCAATTTTCACTCGCTTATCATGTAGAACCTGGATGGGTGTGGATGATGTGGTCTGGTCCCTGGGATTTGCGGTACGCAGCTCAGAGCTAGCGTAATGCATCAAGCCACTGACAGACCGACTCTGTTGTAGCGCCGAAGATGTGAGTAGATTTGTGCAGAGGGACGGCTCACTTTTCGGAGGGCGGGCTGAAGTTGAAAGACGCCTAGTCACCCCCCAAAAAATTGGATGCCTACTCTCAATTGCTTTCCCTGCCTTACGGCTTCCTCCAAGGCCGAACGAAGGGGCTTCAGCACATCTGGCCCGTTGAAGCTGATGATGCGAATGTAGCCTCAGGAGCGGCTAACTGTTGCAGCAATCGCTCTGAACATCTCGCAGGATCATGATCTCATGACGAGCGTCGTGTCGCAAAATCATGCCAGCTCTCGTGAAGCTCTCAAGAATGCACATCACCATTGAAGACCATTAAAACCGGAAGCTTTTAAGCAGGCTTTAGGCCGGGTTTAAGAAGCCTCCGTCTACCTCGGGCACTACTTGAGCTCGATCGTTCGTAGCGCTCAGAGTTTAGTTGCCCTAAGGATACGTGGGGTTATAAGCGGGTTCCAGATAATCAGGGGATTGTGGAACCTATTTGGGGAGTCCGTAAGAACATTTTTGAGCAACTGCCGTACATTTCAGTAGACATGTTGGCGCTGTCCAATTTTTAAGGTTGATGATCACATGACTTCTTCTGATGCTCCTGGCGGATGTGTGCAACTCAGGCACCGGCCCACTTCATGGGATGGAGCTCGAAACTCAACAGGCTCGACGCGCATCGGCTGCCTTTGCAGGGTCAACGAGTACTCCTCGGCCTCAGCTTCAACTCCAGCACTGATACATGGCTGTGCCCTTGCATGGCCACTGCGCGAAGCTAAGAAGAGGAAGCAAGTGAGGTCAAGCCGCCGGCACTCCTCTCACCGGAGAAGCCTGGCGCTGAAACTTTACGCTGGCCCAGGTGCCAGGCGTTCCAGGTATCCAACGGGCTGCGTCTGCTGGCACACGCACTGACTGGCCATCCACTTCAACCAAACGATCGCCGACTGCCACACCTGCAGATGCAGCGGAGCTCCCGCTGACTACAGCCACAACTTCGGGCGACCCGCCCCTTCCGCGAGTTGTGTCCTGCGCGAAGGCGACGCCAATACCAGCAACGTCACCGCCCTCGGCAATCTCAGTCATCTCAGTCCACTCTTCTGGAGGGTAGTATTGCGCATACGGGTCTCCAAGTTTCTCGAGCAGGCTGTCCGCTGCATCGATGAGCCGCTTTGAAGTATGTTCACGACCATCCCAGGTAGGGTTAACGCCGAAGCTGCTTAGCAGAGTGTCGGCCAACCACTGAAACCCATCTGCCCATCGCGTTGCGCGAAGGTCGTGCAAACCATCCAGCAGAGCATCCTCCCACGCACCTCGGCCACCAGCCTTTTTGAGCTCGGCGTCCAAGCCATACATGCATGCTGCAGTCCTCAAGACAAGGCATCCAATATGCACACGTGCATGCAATGGAAAGCGACCCTTCCTGCACAGCGTCCCTGCACGAGAAACCAGCCTGCTGACAACTCACAAGGCTACAGACTGTCTGCTGCTGTTCGGGCATCTTTTTCACACACGGCCAACCTCACACGCGTTTGAAGTGAGCAGCGGAGCCTTGTAAGCCAGGGTTGTCTTTTGCAACCGCACTAATCGTTGGAGGACATCGAAATTCGAATCTGTCTCATCTTGGGCCAGTTTAGCAAGGCTCTCAAGCACTGGGCTATGTCTTGCTTTGAAAGCTTCAAAGCCAGCATCCAAGTCTGCGAGAATCAGCAGACGGTTGCCGGTGTCATCCAGGGCGGCAATCACTTCCTCGTCAAGCTGCGAAATGTCCACACCAACAGCTGAAAGGGCTGCCAGCAGGCTTTCCCAGCCCACAGCTGCACCGGCTGGAAGCGAATCAGAGCCTGGTGAGAATCCACGAAGCACTTGTTTCAGATCAACTGAGGCTGCAAAGCAGGCTCTAAACAAGTCGTCTGCATGCCGTCTCAGAAGACCACGAGATCGGCGCAGCATTGTGAGGAATGCCCGGTAAGACGATCTTTGCTCTTTGACAGCCAAGAAGGCACCGGCCAAGATCTCTGCTACATGGCGCGAGACACTCATGGAGCTGGTCAGAATCCGAACAAGGCCTGCAAGGTCTGCTGGAGCATCCAGTCCACGCGAATGCCCAGTTGAGACTGCGGCTTGCCCAGGATCTTGCCCACCAACCTGGAAAACGGCCGCCCGGACTTCAGACCTGAAGTCTGTGACGTCTGTCAGATTTGGGCGCTGCCTATCCAAATGGCCACAGAACCTCCGGAAGTCTGCGTAGGTAATGACACCCCGAGCCGTGGGATCACACAGAACCAGTGCATCTGGCACTGCTTTTGAGAGAGCGGATGGCCACACCTCCAACTGAGCCACGGCATCCTTGCTGATGTGGCCGTTTGCGGCAACGTCGAGGCAAGCAAACAAGACATAACTCGGTAGATCCAGCCTACTGAGTTCTAGCTGGTCGTGCAAGGCCGCGATAGGCTGCACCGCGTGAGGACATGTTTGCTGAAGCCATAAGCTGTAACACCGAAACATTGCTTCCATGTCCAGCAGGCCAGAAGCACTGGCCCATTTTCGGGCAACCTCGAGCACGTCTGCGTTAGCCATCACGACGCCTCCTGCTCGTACAGCTGCAATGAACTGCCCAAGCCGCAGAAACTTCCCCCCATCTCCAAGCATTGCGCAAGACGCACGAAGGCGGCTGCGTAGTTCTTCAGGCCCGATGCTGGCAGAGAGCAGTGCTGCAAAGAGCTCCTCCTCCCGACCACCCACTGTCTGCGTGAAGTCCCTGTGCGACAAGCCTTCGCCCAGCGCCATTGCTTGTTGAATTGAAGTCTGATAAACGCGAAGCTCGGCACCATCAAGCTTTGCCAAGCTCCTCAGGGCTGCAACTGCAGCTGATGCAGAGGTAGGAAGTCGCAATGACTGCCAGGCATTGACCACCTGCAAAACGCCATACTTGTCCGTCTCCAGGATGCCGGCAAGGACCACATCTTCACTCGAAGCAGGAGAGCACCACAAGGTAGGCTGTTTGCCAGAAACCTGCCGGGCTACTTGATCCAAGCAGCCTGCAGCCTCTTCCATCTCAACCTCCCCGGCTGTCAGCAAGCAGAAGAAGGCAGACAGTAATTGCCTCGCTGCAGGCAATGAAGGCTCACGAAAGCGAAATGGCTCCTCCAGCACTTCCCCGCGCACGTGCACTGCCACCTGCGCGGGCCTTTCCTGCCTCAGCATCTCTGCCCGGAGTGCTACTAGCTTGGCCAGCGGACGTGCTGGCAAAGCCCCAGCCGTGCTTGGGTCAAGCAAGCGTAGAATCTCGTCCATGGAGCCCCAGTGAGGTCCTCTGCCAGTATGATGTGCAAGCAGTGCAGCCAACTCGGCATGGCGAAGGCTTGCATCTGTGCCCAGGGCTGCAAGCTGCTCAGCAAGCTTTCCCAAAGCTTCAGCGCCTGCCTCCTGCTGCAGCAAATCAACTGCAGCCTCTATGCGCGCTGACACCTCCAGAACAAAGCCTCTCCATAAATCCTGACTTATTGTACGCTGCCCGCACTTTGCCTGGGAGGCCAGGAGAGCCGCTTGCCTGGGCGTGAGACCCTCCACTGCCCGAAGGAGGCCCTCGCAGAGATCTTCCAGATCAAAGGTGCCTTGGCTCTCTCGGAGACTCCAACTTCCGGACCTTTGCTTGTGCGGACGACGTGCTTCACCTAACACTTCGTCCGCCGAAATACCAGCTGCCACTAACCACAGACATGAAGAGGTCTCATCCCAGTGGCTCCGCGGACGTGCCTTGCGATCCTCCGATGGTTCCCACTCCTCGGTCAAAGCAGAACAAACTGGAGTTCTGGCAGGCAGCAATCAAGGCGTGCAATTGCAAACCCAAACGCGTTGGGGCCTTATCACACAGAAAAGGTTGCTTGCAAAGCATACTTGCTCAAACTGCGACCATGTTCTGGTGCTCTCACGGCTGTTTCGGACGCTGGCTCTTGAATTGCACCAGGCTGAATGTTCTTCTGTTCGAGGTCAGCAGCAGGGCCATGTCGCTCCGCTGGCTCCTCCTCAGCGGCTGTTTCGAACCTTAAAGACCCTCAATTGAGAAGAACATTCCCCCTCGATAAACTCTCCCAGGCTTTGGTTGTGGGGTAGCAAATGAATTTGTTAATTATGCCCCTTTGTAGAATCTCCCGGCTCTAGCAAATCAGTCATTCCCCGCGTTAAATCTCCTGGCTCTCTGGTGTCTGAGAAGGCTTTGCGCCAGTGAGAGCAGGCAGACTGGCGGGATGAGGCTGCTGAGCCTTTAGCATGGCAGCCGGCCCTGCATGGAGCGCAATCCGAATGTGCCCCACCACCGAACCAGCACGCAAGGAGCAAATCTCCACATCCTGGCACAGCAGGCAGCCTGAGAAGCCCCCTACCTCAGGGAGTCCTGCAGTTGGCAAAGGCAAAGCTGCGAGCCCCAGCAACTGCTCCCCGTGCCATAGGTGGAAATGCAGGGAACTCAGAGATGGTCTGTCAGCTACACCAGCCCCACCTCCCCATATAGGGGAGGTAGACACGTGCGCTGAACCCAGCAGGTAACTGACAAACTGGGAACCATCCTCATGTAGCCTGGCTGCAGCTGTCACCTCATCAGCAATGCCAAAACGGAATGCCACCCTTAGACCACCTGATGATGGCGCACGATCCAAAGCGTCCGACCGCAAGCGAAGTCCGCACAAGTGCACTTGCAAATAGAGGCCATCTGCTTGAGAAGGGCTGGCCTTGCCACGCGCTGGAGCCCCAGCTTGTGCTGGGAGCGTGCCAGCTTTCTCGCTTCTGGCCCCTGCCGCTGATCGCACGCCGCACTGAGAACAATATCTGGCATCGGTCTCCAGGTTACACCTGCAATTAACGCAAGGCCTCATTTGCTGCTGCAGTTCCAAAGCTTGAAGTCTCGCTGACAAAGCTTCTTCCTCTGCCAGCCGCGCTTGCCACTCATGATGCTCGAATGACTGGATGGCCTCTACATGGTTACCCCAACTACTTGGGTAACTACGTACCCTCCCAAAGAGGTGACAAAGGGCAAGGGCTAGACAGTCCTAGGGTTCAGGGAATAGGAATCGTAACAACTTGAATAATGAGATCAACAGTGATAGTGGAGGCCTCTGATTTGGGACGGAGCTCCGCATTCTCACTCCAGTTTGTAGACAGGCACACCCGAAGCTGCCCGACCATCATCCTATCCTCAGCTCTTCATTTTCTGATGGGCAGAAACAAGATCCAGCTCGTTGATTGCGATCTTGGCGTATTTGAAAATGTGTAAAAATCTATTTCAGACTTGGCCCAGTATCAGAATGGCCCCGCACCACCGGGAAGAAGCCCTCCACACGTAAGGCATAGTCCACATCCGGCCCGCGCAGCCAGGGTTGCAAATTAATTTCGCAGAGGCCCAGCGGGCACATGCTGCCTTTACACGAGATACTGTACATTCGGATGCATAAGAACTTCATGTCCTGGAGATAGGCTGTGAACCTCTTTGGAGATGAGTGGATCGGGAACTCCACCGTCCGAAAGATGTTGGTGGAGTCCTTCATGGGTTTGATAAACAATCCCGCTCCTTCCTTCGGCTTTTAAAGTCTTGTTTGATGTGTGAGGGGCCCTGAAACTTATGAAGTCAAGAGCCTTTCTGACTAACCATTACTGAAGGGGGAGCGGATACGAAGGACCCACCCTTTGGGCTCTCCAGTTAAGATTCGCGCGTACCCCCCTCCCCCATATCACGTGTGTGGGTGGGTGGGTGGGTGGGTGGGTGGGTGGGTGGGTGGGTGGGTGGGTGGGTGGGTGGGTGGGGGGGGGGGGTGGGTGGGTGGGTGGGTGGGTGG